CGGGGCCTGGAGGGGTGGGGGGGGAAACCAGGCCGTCCCCGTGGCTGAAATGGGGGCGAGGGGGGGAGCTAGCACGGCCTCCTCCTCCTCGGGCTGTGTGTGTGCGCAGGTAGCTGCGCTCCAAAATATTAGGCGGATGGACTTCGAGTTGGTGGTGGTGGGGAGGGTCTTTTCTAGCTGCGAGGGGGTTGCTATGGCTAGCCGGGCGTTTTGTGGGGGGGGGGGGGCGCAATGTTCCCTCTAAGCTGTGGAGTCTTGTGAGCAAAAGTTCTACTTGGTGAGCTACTGGCATTCAAGTTGTGAGCAATGTTCCCTCTAAGCTGTGGAGTCTTGTGAGCAAAAATTCTACTTGGTGAGCTGCTGGCATTAAAACTGTGAGCGAGCGATTTGGCAACCGTATAAATTAGTTTGCTCTGGAGCTGTTCTTCCTGAGCTAAGACAAAAATGTGTGAGCCGGAGGCTAGAAAACTGTGAGCTAGCTCACACTAACTCAGCTTAGAGGGAACACTGGTTGTGAGCAGGTGATTTGGCTGCTGCATAAACTGGTTTGCCCTGGGGCCATTCCTCCTGAGCTGAGACAAAAATGTGTGAGCCGGGGGCTCAAAAACCATGAGCTAGCTCACGCTAACTCAGCTTAGAGGAGACATTGGGGAGGGTCCATCCTTTGCTTTTGGGGGGCCTCGCTCTCGTTTGGTCTCTGGAGGAGACGCCTCTCTGTGGACCTCTCTGTGTGTCCTGTGGGTACATCTGTTGGCGTTGTTGTAAATGTATGGTATATATATGTGTGTGTGTGTGTCCCAGACAGGTGGCTGCAGCCCCAATGACCTCTCCAGTAGAGTTTTGTGGCGCCTTTGAAAGACCCGGTGACAATATCACTGCGGAGAAAGCTTTGGTGACCCAGGGCCTGTTTTTGTTGGCAGGTCGAACCTCCCGTTTGCCAGGGGGGAAAAGGGCATCTCTTGTCAGGCTGTTTGTCTGAACCTGCCCTGTAGTAGAACAAGAGAAAACAGTAGAACAAGAGAACCAGGAGCACCTTAAAGACTAACAGAATCTGTGGCAGGGGATGAGCTTTCGTAAGTCACCTGCTCACGGCTACAGATACTTCTTCAAATCTGTGGCAGGGGAGGAGCTTTCGTAAGTCACCTGCTCACGGCTTCAGATACTTCTTCAAATCTGTGGCAGGGGAGGAGCTTTCGTAAGTCACCTGCTCACGGCTTCAGATACTTCTTCAAGTGAGCGGTAACTCACGGGAGCTCATCCGCTGCCACAAATTTTGTTCGTCTTCGAGGGGCGACTGGATTCTTGCTCTTTTCTACTATTTGTTTATTTATTGTACCGTTATGTTCAGACGAATACAGCTACCCGTCTTGATCTGTAGTGGAACGGTTTGATTCGAGTCCACTAGCACCTCGGAGACCAACTAGAGGTTCAGGGTGTAAGATTTTGAGACATGAGTAAGGTAGATCTCTGAGTTCTTGTATCCTAGTCAGAAGGTGGGTGTCATGCGTGTAAAGGAAACTGTCCTATAGTGGGTATCCTCAAAGCCCGCAGTGCAAGGGACGAAGCAGACTGGTACTGGAGTGGCGCCTATTACAGGGCAGACCCAGAAGATACAGTCAAAGAACACCACTTGTTGGCACTCCTAGCTGGAAGCTTTGCCTTTAGTGATCCAGTTTCAGAGGGTAGCCATGTTGGTCTGCTAGATTCGAACCCAGTAGCACCATAGAGACCAGCTAGGTTTTCAGGGCATGGACTTTCAAGAGTCAGAGCTCTGGCGCAGGCAGGAACTTTGACCTTCGAAAGCTCATATCCTGACAGTCTCATTGGTTTCTAAGGTGCTGTGCTATTGGACTCAAGGTCTGACCTGGATGGCCAGTCAGGGCTGGTCAGGTCTCGGAAGCTAAGCAGGGCCGGCCCTGGTTAGTATTTGGATGGGAGACTGCTATGGAAGAGCTGGGTTGGTATGCGGAGGCAGGGAGTGGCAAACCCCCTCTGAACGTGTCTTGCCTTGGAGACCCTATGGAAGAGGAGGAGGAGGGGATTGGATTTATACCCCGCCCTGCACTCAGAGTCTCAGAGCGCCTTACAAACTCCTTTCACTTCCCCTCCCCACGACAGACACCCTGTGAGGTGGGTGGGGCTGAGAGAGCTCTTTCCAGAACTGTCCTTGAGAGAACAGCTCTGACAGAACTGTGGCTTGCCCAAGGTCATCCAGCAGCTGCGAGTGGAGGAGTGGGGAATCAAAGCACTTAACCACTACACCAAACTGGCTCTCTCTATGGGGTCACCCTAAACCAGCTGCGGCCTGATGGCCAAAAAGGGGGGCTTGAATCCAGCTGTTTAGCGATCCAGGGATGGTAGGCCTTCCTTGTTTAGAGGCAGTCTTTGGATTGGATCTGGTGGAACATTTCCATTGATGGCAGGGATTTCCGCCAGCAGAGCAGCACTTCCTCACATCCCCCCCCCACACACACACTTGCTGCAGCTCAAAAAGCCCCCTGAAATGTTGCTTCTGGGAGTATAGGGAAACCCCTAGGAACAGCACAAATTTAGAATCCAGGGTCACCTTTAAGACCAACAAAGTTTTATTCAAGGTACAAGCTTTCGTGTGCAAGGCACACCTTCTCAAATACATTGGCACGATAGGAATAGCGTAAGAGGGGAGTTAGAGGTCCGTAGCAGAAAGGAGGAATTGGCAGGAATCAACAAACCCAGTAGCCAGCTTCTCAGGCAGCTCTGCGTTGCAGATCCTGACAACATCCGTCGCAGCATCAAGAGAGGCCCAATCGCCTGCTCCATCCTCCAGTGTCATAATTGACATCACCCGTTGATGCCCTTCATAACAAGTCCGCCTGTCTGCGAGAGCATAAGTGGACCCAAATCCGACTTACAAATGAAAACGTACAAAAACGAATGGGAGAAGATTTGAGTCTCCCAGGGTCGTCTGTTGCATACCTCAGGGTCACCACCGACAGAAAGATTTCAAGGAAATTGCTGCTCTAGAGTTTATTAGCAAATTTGATTCTGTCAGGGTGGACTTAATCTGGTGGGTTCCTTTCTGAACAGATGCGCTATGTTAGCATGACATAATAGCATTCTCCCCAGTGACGGCTGCCGTGAATGGGTCTTTTTTGTTTTTCTGTTGTACGTATGTGGATTATGCCTAGAAATGTCACAGACCCACAACAATTGCCTTGTAGTTCATGGCCTTTTGGCTCTGTTGTTTGCAATTTTTTCCCCTCTGACCTCAACTGCACCTGAGTGTCAGAAAAAACATAAGTCAATGGGAATGAAATCCTGCCAACTGAGGATAATCCTTCACGTGCAGAAGTTGTATGCCACAATATATCCATTATTCTTCAAATCCCCCAGGATTCCTCCCTTTTTTCTTTTTCTATATATTTATGTGTATATGCCTACATGTATCCTTCTGGTTCTGATGGAACTGTCTTTCAAAAAAGTATGATCAAAGCATCAGTCCTTTGCACCCGTACCTTGGTATAAGTCTAAGGGAACCCAATGGGCATTCCTTCCAGGTAAATATAGTTAGGATGGGGCTTTAAGGCAAACTGACATTTGTTTACCTGGGTAGCCAGATTATTGAAGTGAAATAAACAGTCGAATCAGCTGCTTTAAGCAGCGGCTGGACAAACCCTTGTCAGGGATGCTCTAGGCTGATCCTGCATTGAGCAGGGGGTTGGACTAAACGGCTCTGTGGTTCTGTGATGCTATGAAGGCAAAGAGTGCTTTAAATCCTTTTCTTTTTTGCCTTTAGAACTCCTTAATTAAAAGGGGTGTGTGGAAAAGGAATAATTCTTAATAGCTATTTTATAGGTTGGCATCCCTGCGCTGCTTTTGAGTAGCCTCTTTATTTATTTATTTATTTATTTGTCAAACTTCTACAGTGTAAGTTTCAAATGAATGGGACAGTGCTGTATCAAGCGGCTTGAAAATCACAACCACAGTCATTTACGTGCAAATGAAGATCGTTTCAGGGGTTTGCCCTGTCGGTCTGCAGGAGAAGACCTGGATTTGAGACAGTGTTCTCTCTAAGCTGAGTTAGTGTGAGCTAGCTCACAGTTTTTTAGCCTCCAGCTCACAGATTTTTTGTCTTAGCTCGGGAAGGAGGGCTCCAGAACAAACTATTTTTGATGCAGCAGCCAAATCGCTCTCTCACAACTTATGCCAGCAGCTCACAAAGTAGAATTTTTTGCTCACAGGACTCCACACAGCTTAGAGGGAGCTTGGCGGAGACCAACAAAATTTCCAGGGTATATGCTTTGAAGAGTCAAAGCCCCACTCGTCAGACTGAAAATCTGGTAGGTCTTTAAGCCGCTTTACTGGACACGAATCTAGTTCTTGCTTTCAGATATATTTATTGTATTAATGAACTTTCGAGATTCTTTTAGGTACCGTCTCCCGATTACACGCTCTCGCTCCTTTGTTGCCTCAGCTGTGTTGCATAGGCTTCAAAACATCCCGTACAATATTGCAGGAAGTGCAAGGAGTGTTACCTAGGCTCTCGTTCTACTTAAAGGTGCTTGAATGCGTTTAACTTTGGCCTTGGAGAACACGCCCAGGATGTTTTATCCTTGACACTAATTTGTTGTCAACATATATATTAAACGTCCAACTTCCTGGGAAGAGGCTAACACAATGGAGCGTTTATCCAGGGTGCCTATAAATGCTGACAGGGCACGTTTAGGCCATGGCAGGTGTCTCAAGTGGAGCAGGAGACACTCTAAAAGCAGTCTTAGACCAATAAGCAGGGCACAATTCAATGTGTCCCCCCCCCCCCCCCAACGGACACTTTGGCTATACAATAAGATTGCAACGGTTTGTTCCTGCTGTCAGAACTTGAAGTTACAGTAAAAGGAAAGTCAATATGATGCATTCTTCCCGTACACACAGGCTGCCTTGGAACCGTGTACCACGTAATAAGCCCGCGGTTGGTTGCAAGATTAATGTGGGTTCTTCCCCTGATTATCCCCACCTCCACTTCCCTCTCTTGTTGTGTTCCTTGTAGCAGGTTCTAGACAGTGAACGCCTCAGAGCTGGGGCCTGTCGCCCGATTTTTGACAATCTATGCGTGTTGATGGCACTATATGAAGAAAACTGTCTGGATATTCTCTAAGGTTCCACGATCATCTGGCAAGTTCAGTGTAGTGTAGAGCCAGTGTGGTGTAGTGGTTAGGAGCGTGGACTCTAATCTGGGAGGACCGGGTTCGATTCCCCACTCCTCCACATGCAGCTGCTGGTGTGACCTTGGGTCAGTCACAAGTTCTCTCAGAGCTGTTTCTCTCACGAGCAGTCCTCAAAAGAGCTCTCTCAGCCCCACCTACCTCACAGGGTGTATGTTATGGGGAGGGGAAGGGAAAGGAGTTTGTAAGCCGCTCTGAGACTCCTTCGGGTAGTGAAGGGCGGGTTATAAATCCAATCTCTTCTTCTTATGGGATCAACCACTAGCAGAATATCAGGTTGCCAGATTGCATCCTGGGAGCACATGTGTGGCTTTAAGTTCCCCAGTGCAAGGGGGTGTGTGTCCCAGTTTCTCCAGTCTGTTCTTTTCCTGGTTTTGTCTGCTATCTCCCCCAGCCCACCTTCTTATGCAGGCGAGGCAGATGATGTGAAAGTGGTTGGGAGAAGCTACAGTTGCCACGTCTTCCACTCACTTTGGGAAGTCAAAGTCTATCGCTGTGTTTCCAGGTTGCAATCTGGGATTCTCGGTAGGGCAGGGTTATATACTTAAGGGTTATGCAGATGTCTTCCTGAAGCTTTGAAAGAGTTCTGTGGCACTTTCAGAGTTGGCGAAATAAAGGGTCTCTTTGAAAACAAATGAGGGACGTTCAGCCTGTTCTCATCTAACTGTTAGGTAAGGTAAAGGTTACCTTGCTCGAAAGCCAGTCGAATCCGACTCTAGGGTTGCCAGCGCTGTCCGAAGACGTTTCCGTGGTCATGTGGCCGGCATGACTAAACACCAAGACGCACGGAACACTGTTACCTTCCCACCAAAGTGGTACCTATTTATCTACTTGCAATTTCTTGCTTTTGAACTGCTAGGTTTGCAGGAGCTGGAACTAGAGACGGGAGTTCACTCCGTCATGCGGCACACTCGGGTCTCGAACTGCTGAACTATTGACCTTTCACAGCCAGCAGTTCAGCGTCTTAACCACTTGAGCCACCACAGCTCCTCATCTAACTGTTACAGGTCTTAATTTGTCTTTGGGACGAAGGGGGATCCCTCTGTCGTCAGTAACAAGCTCTCCGAAGCAGCTCTTGTGGCTGAACAGCTAGCAGTTGGAAAGTTCTGCGGCAGGGGTCTGAATTTGTTTCAAAAGCTGAATGGCTCGGGTCCAGACCTTGCACTAGTGGAAAGGCATTTCTGCTCTCACAAGGAGAGGGGTCTGACCTGCCAGTTACCACTTCCTTTGGTACTCTGCCCCCCCCCCCCCCCCCCCCGTTCCCAAGGGTCCCTCGATCCTCAGGACCTTTTTACAGGAAGTGCAGGGGTCTGCCGCAGAAAGTTGTAGGCAGGAAAGTTGTTGGTGGAGCTCCACGTAGCATTTGTTGGGTTCCGAACCTGTGTTTTGATTTCGAAGTGTCAGATACGTGAGGTTCATGACACCACTTTTTGAGCCCTAATATGAACACCTGTCTGTTTACAAAGTCACTGTGGTTTGATAGAGCCAGTGTGGTGCAGTGGCTAAGAGCAGAGGACTCTAATCTGGAGAACTGGGTTTGATTCCCCATTCCTCCTCCACAGGAAGCCTGCTGGGTGACCTTGGGCCAGTCACAGTCCTCTCCAAACTCTCTCAGCCCCGCCTACCTCACAAGGGGCCAGTTGTGGGGAGAGGAAAGGAATGTGATTGTAAGCCACTTTGAGACTCCTTAGGGTAGAGAAAAGTGGGGTTATCACTTCTTTAAGAATACCAATCTAGAGGTTGCAGTTTGCGCTTTGGGAATTTGAAAACGGAGTCAGATTTCAAAAGTCAAATGTGTAAGCATCATTAGCTGTAACCAGAGGTGGGGAGACTTCAGGTTATCAACAAAAACAGGAGGCCTGTTTTCGACATATCATGTTTCTCTGGACTTTACCATTTGTAAACTCTCAGGATTTAGAGGAGGCGACATGTTGTTCAAGAGTAGGACTGTCACTCCTACGTGTGGTGTAACTCTTTATCTCCTGCCTCCTTTCTGCTGAGTACCTTTCTAGGTGGGCATCCTGTGCTTCCCCCCCCCCCCCACACACACACTGTAAAAACTTGAGATCGCTATTTCTCAAACTGGAGCCCAGGGACTTCTGCGCGCCGCGGGGGGGGGATACTGTGCAAGACTGACGCTCTTGCCGTCTTCCTGTTTGTGTTCTTCCTAGCTGGTTGGCCGCTGTGTGAGCAGAATGCTGGACTAGATGGGCCTTTGGTCTGATCCAGCATGGCTCTGCTGATGTTTTTACTCCATAGGTTCTGTGAATCCCATCTTATGGAATGGTCTGCCTGAGGCTGTTAGGAAAGTCCCTGGTGTCGTTCCACAAAGCGTGCAGAGGGCAATTCCCGTAGAGGGAGTAGAACTGTGATGTAATGGATCAGCTTAGGAAGGGACCTCTTATTAGCAGTATTTGTGTGTGTGTTCTTCAATTTCAGTCCCACTGGAGGAGGAAGAGGAGGAGGGGATTGGATTTATACCCCGCCCTTCACTCAGAGCGGCTTACAAACTCCTTTCCCTTCCCCTCCCCACAACAGGCACCCTGTGAGGTAGGTGGGGCTGAGAGAGCTCTGACAGAAACTGCCCTTTTTCAAGAACAGCTCTGCCAGAACTAGGGCTTGCCCAAGGTCATCCAGCAGCTGCAAGTGGAGGAGTGGGGAATCAAACCCGGTTCTCCCAGGTTAGAGTCCGTGCTCCTAACCACTACACCACCATGTTGTTTTATTAAGGATCTTTGCTGCTAGACTCTAATATTACCATATTTTGTAATTGGCTTACTAATTGACTGAATAGTTCTGCTGTATTTGTAATCCGCCTTGAGTCCCAGTGAAAAAGGAGGACTGTAAAAGAAGAATAAAACCAATCAATCAATAAGATTAATTTTAAAGAGGACAGAAGGGTGAGCCCGTCTGTCTGGCTAATGCAAAAATGGAGCCCCCTCAGTTTTCTTGGAACGGGGAAGGACTCTCAGGGGAAAGGGACAGGCTTGCCCAACCACTCTTTTGAAGGGGAGGCGCTCACAGAAGCCCTGTCCCCTGGCTTCCAGATCTCCTTGGAGCACTTGCCTAAAAATACACTGCTTAGTTACCAGCAGGGCTTTTTTGGTAGAAAAAGCCCAGCAGGAACTCATTAGCATAACAGGCCACACCCAACAGCAGAAACTCATTAGCATATTAGGCCACACCCCTGACAGCACAGCTCATTAGCATATTAGGCCACACCCCCATGTTAACAGAAGTGTGGTCATCCAGCCACACCTACCTTTTGCTTCTGTTTACCTTGTTTGTTGCAAAACCCAGGGCTTTTTTTTGTAGCAGGAACTCCTTTGCATGTTATGCCACACACCCCTAATGTAGCCAATCCTAATGAGTACCTGCTGTTGGGTGTGTCCTATTATGCTAATGAGTTCCTGCTGGGTGTGGCCAATTCGGGAGCCAGCCGGAACTCCGTTCCTGTGTGTTCCTGCCCAAAAATAGCCCTGTTTACCAGGATCTAGTGGCTGCCACCTAAGGAATCAGATTGGCTGACTGATGCCAAGGAAATCCTGCCCTAATAAAGTCCTCGTAGACCCTTCAGATATGAAGCTGAATTGTTTCTCATGGTATTTTCCAAGGAAAAGGACTTCCCCATTGAGAGAGCGGCTGTCCTTTGTTCACTGACAATAATAGCCAGTGACTGTTTTCCATTAAACGGTGGATGTTCAGGTTTTGTGTGATGTGTGTCTCCTTCTGTTTCTGTGGGCCATCCTGAAAGTTTCTCCAGGCCCCCCCCCCCCCCCCCCTCAGCCAGCATCTCTGTCTAGACGTTATTAACCATTCACAAAATTTCTTGCTGTCTTTTCCAGTCAAGAGGTGGAGCAGAACTTGGGACAGGGCCTTTGCTCAGCTACTCTCTTGGCAGGCCACGTAAGGACAAGGCAGACATTTTATTTCTGAAACTTGATTTGTAGCCAATACGGACCTCTGTATTGTTTTGAAGATATTAGAAGACGGAGGCCTCCGTGGGCAGCTGTGCCTTGCCGGGTACTCTCAAGGAAGGTTCTGCTGGCCAAGGGAGCAGGGGAATGTGTAGTGGTCTCAAAACTGAGGTCCTCGGGTTGCTAAAGTTTGAGAACTAT